ACACACACACACACACACACACACACACACACACACACACACAACTTGTATCAGTTCTGTATCACTGGACATAGATGAAGTCCTTGTCCAAAAAAAGAATAAATAAAACACTTCACCATCAAGAGGCCTTATATTAGTATTATATTCTTACTGATGTTAAAACGAAGGTTTATAAAGTATCAAAAGCGTATTACCACTAATTTCTAATTAAAACCATTTTACATACGATATGTTATGTTTAAACTTGTGTAATGTGTCCTATGTAAATGCAAAAATGAGCTAGTTCAGTGTTTACTTACAAGGTTTTTTAGCAAACCCTCTTATTTATTTATCATTTGATTTAAACCATTTGCAGTAGCTGCAGCAGACACCAGACGTCTGACCTTTTGACTACAAGACGCTCAAGCTCGTCACCACGACTCCCTGTTGCTCCTGTCTGGGTCACTCTGCCATATTTCATTACGTGACAGCAGACTGCTTTTCCTCTACGCTCACAGTATACGTGCTAAAAAGTGATTCTCCTCCTATGATACAATGGGAAATTAGATTTCTGTGTCTGATAATGACAAAACAGTCCGATATTGGTTTTACCTCAACAACGGTCTCGTCAAAGTACTTTTTCTTGATCTCTGGTTCCCAGTCCAAAGAGAGATAAGAGCGGTCTGTGAAACGGTGAAGAGATGACGTATCAGATGAGTCACTGTTCAACTCTTTATCACCATCCTTTATGATCTAACTGCAGGATGATTTACCCTTGTGCTTAGAAGATGACTAATGTATTCATTGTATTTTTGAAACATGTTTATAGCCCTTGGGTACTGAATGATGAATCTTAATATACCATGCTTGAATTATAAATTAGTAATATTTTGGGTGGATTTATTTTTTTCTCCACACTACATACCACTGAGTCTGAGGTGTCCCTCGTCGAAGCGGATCTGCCTGGTGTCCTCCTTGATGAGTGAAAAGTCCGTTTTGCCCATGTTATTGAACTGGAATGTAAAAAGTCTCTTTCTGTTGTGCTCGGCCGTCTGCTGGCCTTTGGTGGAGTTCTGTGGGCCGACTACGCCGTTCTCCAGTTCGTTGTCCCCTCCGACAGAGTCCTCTGATTGGCTGTTATCGTTCTCGGAAGGCAGCTCCTGATCCTGGCTGGACTCGTCGTCTTGCTCGTCGGTCTCCATCTCGCCTTCAGGATAACAAAGCAGTTTAAAGCAAGCCAATAAATATAAAGCAAATAAAGTAACATAATAAATTAGGGCAACGTCTCACAAACAAAAATGCTAGTGAATATTGCAGGTCTAAGTTCACCAAAGTTGAACTCCACAAATTGGAAGTGAACTGGAGGTGTGCCCAGGCCCTCAACACATAAAGCACTTACTTGGTGACCCCTCCTCCAGGAGTCCATTAGTGGCGTTACCATTGACAGTGTGTTGTTTGGACGGCTGTGTATCTTCACATTCCTCCTCATCCTCCTCTACAGCCGATCGCACAAACCGGCTGCAAAAGAAAGACATTTATACAGAGCATTTTTCTTTGAGGGATATCGTCAAAACTCACAAGCCCTTGACTTGTGTCAAGTTCGTGGACCTACCAGATGCGCAGGAGCAGCATGTTGTAGAGTTTGTCTTCACTGAGGGTTCTGGGTACAGCAATGAGGAAGGGCTGTCCGAACAGCGGCGTGCTGGTGTGGTTGTAGCCCGACTGTTTGTACTTCTCCCTCAGGTGAACAGGGATCACTACATGGTCTGTGTCCTCCACCCTGTTCACTGCCACCTCAAACCTGCAGACACATGTGAGGTCTGTTTTAAAGTCACACTGGAGAAGTCAGCAGCAGATGTGAATGTTGAAATCTGTTTCTACTAATAAAATTGAAGCTGATTGATGAGCCAGAATTATTTAGTTGTACATATGGTGTTTGACTTGTTTTTTCCCAGCTTTTGTTGGGTAACTAAGGGTTGTACAAAAACACTTTCCCTGGATGATAATGTCCTGTCAACAGAATTGAGACAATGAAGGGACAGAGGGCCATGGCTGAGGGTAGAGGTGAAGATGATTATGGGTAGGGTCTCTTAGAGTTTGAACATGTGTGTGGATGAAGGTAAAGCTTAAGGGGGTATTTAAATTTGAAGCAAAGAGGCATGGAAGCAATATATTAAAAATGTAAAGACTGGAATGTGGATATATTTTGCTTTGCCCAATAAACATTACGTTGAAAATAAGACAGAATTAATGCAAAATATCTGAAACTGTATCATGAATTCCAGTTACAATTAATGCTCAAATAATATAACAAAGGCCATAAACTTCTCATGAAAAGTCTCATGACTTTTGTAACCTGTATTCTTTTGTTTGTAATCTGAATGTAAATAATGCTGTTGTCATAATCAAACTTTGAGTTTTTTTGTCAGCCATGCTCGACACTCACACGTAGATATCGTCCCTCTCCATGATGCTGCTGAGGTTTTCGTTGGTGGCGAAGATACGGTGGAAACGGTGGTTATAAATGTCAGTTACAATCATCTGGAGGAAAAGATAGAATAGAAATACAATGAGTGAAGAAATCTTAACTGGTATATGAACCTAGCCCCTAGGTTATTAATCGTAATTGTATGCATATCGTTTTCTTTATATTAATTTATAAGGAATTTGATTAAACACTTTCTCCACTCACTGCTGGGGTCGGGTGGGCAGGGTCAGTTTAAAAGTGAAAGGACTGTTTTTGGGTTGTGCTGTCCAAGCAGATTTTCAGCATTTTAATGTGATGGCTAATAAAGGGTTAGAGTGGAGCTGAGCTGACTGTGATGTTTATACCTTCTCAGCAGGAACCTCAGACAGGCTGGAGAGGGAGGTACACAGGTCAGAGATGTAGCCCACCTTTGGCACAGTCAGCTTGTACTGAAACAGAAACACAAGGCCTTTGCTTCCACTGTCTTCACATGAGATCATAATGTTATGATACAACACTGACGTGTGTTTGCATGTTACTTGTGTGGGTTTGGCCAGAGGGTCCAGTCTGACTAGATAGACCTCCAGCGTCCGCTCCTTCTTCATGGGAAGGGGCAGGGTCAAGTAGCAGAAAGGATCAAAAGTCACTGAGACTTTGGAGCACACAGGACACACCAGAGTTGACTTGAAAAGGCCGTGGAAGATATCCACGATGATGGAGTCATTTCGCTTGATGTGGTTCTCCCATGCTTCCTCCGCCACAACCTGGAAGAGACCGCACAACACACACCGCCTTTACAAGAGACCGCAAAACTGGAGATGAACAATTAAAATAAAAACTTGCATCCAAAATGGGAACTGTTGAGAAGGGCCATTTGAAACTAGACCAAGTTATGAATAATTATTAGCACAGCAAATATTAGTGATCTTTATAGGGATCAATAACTTGTATAACTAGAATTATAGCACTGCGGTTGTATGCCTCCAGCCAGTGCTGTTTCTGTGAACATATTTCTACATTCTTTTTTTTCCAGATCTAAGAATGTGACCTTTTACCACTGAAATGTATTAACTTTATCTTTGAGTCCAAGTGACAACTGATCAAAAGATTCCCACAAGCAGTCTTGAGATATCACATTCAAGAGACCAAAGACATGTTTTTTGAGGCAACTGTGACCTTGACCTTTGACTACCAAAATTGAATCAGTTAATCAGTGAGTCCAGGGTATTGTGCCTCCAGACAGGCATATTAAATCACATTTACAGGGACTTTTGACCTCCAGACAAATATAATCAAATTCATATTTGAGTGAATGTTTGTACCAATCTGATCTTATCTTCAAGAAAACCATAAACACACTTTGTGAGACCATTGTGACCTTCACCTTTATACTTTGGCTACCAAAATGATTTCCAAGTTCAAGTGAATGTTTGTGCCAAATGTGAAAAATTCCCTCAAGGCGTTTCGGATTTATCGCATTCACAAGACAAAAATGTGCTTTGTGAGGTCACCGTGACCGTGACCACCAAAATCAAATCAGATCATTCTTGAGTCCAAGTGAATACAACTTCCCTCCCATTACATTTTCCAAGAATGGGATGGACAACCCGAAAACATAATACCTCCAGCCACTGGCTGTCACCCGTGCAGAGGCTAAAAAACATGTGAAATAACATTTTTATCCAAATATTTTAAAGGGACTGATCAAAACATTTGGCACAAAGTCACTGCACTTTCAGACCTTGAGATGATTTAACACATTTTTGGGGTATTTTCCAAAAGTCCTGATCATGACCTTATCGGGTCTGCCGTTGGCATCCTTGAGCTGGATGTAGGGCTTCTTCCTGATGCGGTTCAAGTCCTCATGAAGGCCGTCCAAGAGAAAAGCCAACAGCTCGTGGGAGTCCTGCTGCTGGTAGCCTGAGAACTGGGGGGCGAATCGGCCCACCTGTGTCTGGAGGAAGACAACACATAAACAGATTGAAAAAAATAACAAAAACACAAGGAAGAAGAAAAGCTCAGAGGATTTTTACCCAATATTAGACAACCATAAGATTAAATACATACAAAAATATAACACACTTCCTAGTGTAGCCTGTTTGTTTTTGTGTCTTTTTAAATGTGAGCTCCGAACCTTTAGTTTATTATTCCCCACAGTTTCAGGCAAGACTTTTTTTTTTAATTTCTGAAGATTCAAACTGGTTCCTGCACTTAAAAATCTGTCATCTACCACTGTGTCCTACCTATTCTGATAGAATAGTCTGTTCATCTCTAGTATTATGTGCTGGTTATTCTATTATTGTCTGGTTTTCTACTTGTGCTTTTGTAACTTACTATTACTTATTGCAAAGACATTCTTTTGCTTTCTTCAGTAACTGCCAGAGCAAATATTTGAAAGATAACAGCTACTCTATTTGACAACAAATTTTCTGAATAAACTATATTGTGTTATTGTTACTGAACGTAACAAGTTTAACAAAATACTTAAAGATATTCATGTTTTTTTCTCCATGTAGTCACCTTGAAAGGCCTCGGGGTGACATAGCTGTATTTGCCCGACCACAGCTGCTTGATAAGCTCAGCGTAGGCCCTGGCAATCTCCCCTTTCATTCCCAGCGGGTTGTCCTCGTTCAGCTCATCTGTGTACTTGTCTTTGAGGAAGTACTCCGTCAGTGGAGGGATATTGCTTAAACACTAAGGAGGAGCAGAAGCATGACAGGTCAATAATCAGAAGAGGTTGAAACCGACATGCTGTCACTGACTACTAGCATGAACCCATGTACATTTGGGCACATTTGAGTCCAATGAACCTCTAAAGACTTGAGAAGAATTACAACAACTTTCCATACTTTCTTCTCAGAACTGTGGGGCCCCCTGGAGGCCAGTGTGTTACCTGCACAGCAGAGTTCATGAAGCAGGTGTTTCCCAGGTTGGAGAGTCCACAGAGGCCTGAGCGCTCACTCTGCCTGCTCTGGTCTGAGTAGTCATAACTGTTACTGTAGGGGTGGTAGGATGGCAGACTATAGCTTGAGTTCTTCACACTGCAATAAACATACAAACGCACAAACAGGCAGGTTATAAACAGATGGGTGGATGTTGGTCATGAACATCTATTCTACAGTTATATTATACTACATACTACATCTATGTTAACCAGAAATATATCATGAGATAGTTGGTAATAAGTTGGTGAAAAAATAAAAAAGACTCCAAACCACAATTCAACCCTATAACCCCCCCACAAAGACTTCTCAGGCTTCCTTAACAATCAGATAGAGCCTAAAGCTGGGCCCCCCCCAACTGCAGCACTCAGCAGACCTCTGGGGTGGCTGCAAGTCTGTATTGGTAGTTTCTGACTCCCACTGGTCAAGGGAAACAGCTGTGATGGCGGTGGAAGCGGTGGCCTCGCAGTTCAACACACGGTGGTCCACCCTTCTGCTGTCCAGCTCCACCGCCTCCGGCCTCAGGCACCACCAGCAACACAGGAGCATGACATCTCAGCACCACCCCGGCCCATCCCGGCCCACATGTCCACTCAAAACTAACCGACCAGCAGCCCAGGTGAGGTTTGGTTCTGGTCCGACGCATACAAATCCTGGGGTTTGATGAGGCCCGGGAAGGTAAAGTCCAGCTTCAGTCTTCCACTATTGAGTCCTGATGATAATTCAGCTCAATCTAGTGCAGCTCCTGCAGCAGCTTCAATACAGTCCAAATCAAGTTTAGGCCTGCATTTGACTTTCGAGTCCAGCACGGGCCAACAACCAAACCACAACGCACATAAACATACAAACACACAAATACACACTCTTTCTCTCTCAGAGCTAACTAAGCAGCATCCCTCTTCTCTCCTCCCCCCTTCGTCTTTTTCGGCCTCTACCGCCTGTCATCTTGTTATCCTCTCTGCCTCGGATGTCCTGTCCCGTCCTGTCCTCTGGTCTCCTGCTCCTCCCTCTGGCCTGCCTGCTGCTCTCTGCTGCGCTACGGCTACCGGCGGATATTTATAGCAGCATCAGCAGCAACAAGGATGCTCAAGACTACTGCTACCGAAGCTAGAGGTGCACAGAGAGAGAGAGAGGGAGGGAGAATAGAGGGGGAGGGGCGGACAGTACAAGGGGGAGAGGCTGACAGAAGAGAAATGAGGGGATGGAGGGGGCAGCTGATCCACTGCATCCAGCTGAGGCTGCAGTATTCACAGGCCTGACTCTGTCTTAGTATATTTCTACCACTCTCTCGCTCTAACATACATTAACATGTTCACTCATGCCGACACAACATTTATCTCCTTTTCTTACACTCCGCCACACATTACACTGCGGTCTCGCTCGTCTCAACACACACATTTCCTGATCTTATTTTCCCTCTCCTGCTGTTAAAATGCATCCTATGATTGTTTTATCACTAAGAAACACACACACCCTCCCCTCTTTCCTCCTTGTTAATATGCCATGGGTGTCTGTATGAGAGCTTTTTAAAAAGGAGGGTTTAAATAAATAAAACAAAACCCGGAGAGAGGGGTGGTTTCATCACAGGGTGTGGAGGAAAGCGATGAGGGGAAGCAGGAGCAGATGAAATGTATTCTGAAGGTCACTTAGAGACTGCAGAACATGTGCATCGCAATGAGTTCAGAGGAGAGGGAAAGAGACCAAGAGATACATGGACACAGAGAGAGCTGGGGGGCTAGCTGGCAGAATCTGGGGACACCACCTAGCGAGACGGTGACACTTACTGCTGCTGCCGACTGTCGCTACCGATGCTAAACTGACTGCAATGTAACCGCAAAAATCCAAAGGACAAGTGTTATGTAATGTGGGAACATTTCAAATGAAAAAAAAAAATAAAACAGACACCATGCATAATTTAGAGGAAACGACAGCACTGGCACTACAGTGAATCAGGGACAGGAGAGCTGCTCTGACTCAATATCCAATTTCCCCAAAGTCACCAACTCTACGCATTCCACGACAGGAAACTGTGACGCTGCTATAAAAACAATATAATGCAGAGAAATGAGAATGTGACACCACGTAACAAAGCTACAAGCCAGTGCTGAAATATAACTGGTTTTTAAAGCAGAAGAAGGGCGGGCTTGCTTCACTTCAACACCTTCCTTCTTTATCAATATTGATTTTTTGGGTGGCGAGCTTGTAGTCATTATTTATGAATTCCACAGTATTGAGAAATGCGGTGCAGAGTGTCTATATATAAGACACACACGCACACAGAGACACACTCCAGCATGCAGTAAATCTCACACACATTAGGGGAAAGGTAGGGGACAGTAACAGTCTCCTGGATAGCAGAGGCACAAATGCTCCGCCCACAGTCGAGCAGTGCTCTCTAGCAGAGGGCTGACGGATCCTCTGGGGCCCAGTTGCTTTGGAGGAAATCGGGTTACAGTTACGTTTTCAGAAAACAGAAACTGAAAGCTGAAAAGAAACTAAGCTGTGATTCAAGACTTGTGTTGCAACACTCCAGCCTCATGTGTAAAGATGATAAAGAACGAATGAAGCATCTGAAAATGTAGCCTGACACTAGGGCTGCATGTTTAGGCATGAAGCGATTTTGGAAAGATGAACAAGAATGTGCTTTATTTGTCTGATTCATTTTTGATATCTCTGAAAGCACTGATTGGTGTTTTTCCCATCAATTCTATAGACTGTGGCGGCCCACCATTTTCTAATTTGTGCCGCCAGTTTCATAATGAGCTGAAAATGTTTTCAACTTCTCATAACATAAAAGATTTAGAATTTGGTGTTTTGCTCTGTTGCTGCATTGTAAAGCTGTGTGGAGAGCTACTTGCCGCGTGTTTGCTCCCGCTAACGTACAACTGTTTCATAGTTCTATCGTCCATAAAGTTGTTACAGTCCAAGCAGACATTCAGAGCTCAGAGTATCACCTGCAGATGTGTGAGTATACCACCCACAAGTGGTATGCAATGCAGTTCTCTCTCACGAGTTAACTCATCTTTCACTCTTTAGTCTGTGTACCTGTCACTCAGAATCTGTGCACATCCTGATACACCCACACATTACATCGATTCTGTAGGAAATGCGAGATGTGGTATATAAACTTCCTTTATGCAGGAGTGCTGTTAAATACCAGAATGATTCTCACAAACAGCTGGAAAGGCAGCGTTTAACAACAAAATCTTGAGTAAAGAGATCTGAGCGACCAAGTCTTGGAGACGCCATCTATCAAATAACCAATCAAATAATTTCAAAGTCTGTCTGTGCCTCAAATATCTTGAGAACCGTTCATCTCATCGTTGTCGATCACGGCATCAGTGTGTTCACAACAACTGCAATCGATTCTCCATTTCAGGGTTCTGCACACTGACTCAAGCTTCACCAAACTTTGAATAAACAGGTGGACAGCTCTTTGTGCAGCAGCTTGCGGAGTCCAGCAGCCGGTTTACACTAGCCGTGGCTCAATTACAGCAGGTCACTTTTACAGCTTTAGACAGAAAGATGCAACCAGCATTACCGCAAGCCAAACAAACGGCCGATTCCAAACAGACAGGTTTAGAACAGGTACTGCACTCGTCTTTTAAAAATGAAGAAACAACCAGATCTGACCGGAGGACAGTCTGATCATGAAAACCCTTTTGTTAATCAGTGACTTTGTTTCATGAGGAAAATGTTGGTCTAAAAGATAACAAATAGGTCCAAAGATTATAGTGCAGTTCCTATTATACAGTTCCATTATCTCTGTACTGGAATTATGTGCACAATAAGACACAACAACAGCACTGCAATAAAACAACATAAGGGACTGTGTTGGTGTTGAACTGCTGTTTCAGGTACTAGTGAGAGTACACAGATCCATGAGTTAGACACTAATGCACCAATGCTAAATCATAGTCTGACTAAGGATTTTATAACTTTATATTCTACGTTTCACTGCAACAGTAGAAACACCAAGTGAAACTGGTTCAGCTTTTATGCTTAACAGCTTCATCAAACTGGCCTCATTCAAATGAGGCTGTGTCGCTGACCTGCTGCATCTCCCAGGTGTCTGTTGTTCACAAAGGGAGCGTGTCTGCTGCAGAGCTGCTACGTGAGGTTTCTAGTATTCCTACTGTATCTCATTCAAATAAAAGTCGGCCTATGTATAAAACTAAATTCCAGGACTCTGTGGTATGAAGCTGTGTCTCTTCCAGTTGTGCAAATATGTCACAATCAGTGTCACTGTCTATTTTGCTGTGAACCGTGCAGCTTAGGTGTGTGTCTCACATGGGCAATGTCCCTACTGGAACCTGATAACATGGGTGAAATGAAAAGCAAGACATTCCACAATGGACATGCGCCAGTCACTAATCCAGTGTGGCTGGGGTGAAAAGAGATTGTGTTCTTTTCCTCATAGCACTTATGTGAGTCTGAATGTAACTGAAAAAGGAGATGCAGGCCAGGTAACACATGTAGGTCATTTTTTGAAAAATGTAAGACCAAGTACATTAGGAACATTTATCAGACTGAAGTAAATCAAACCCTAAAAGTTGGAAAACAATTTAGTTTGATTAATTTGGTTATGTTATTTGGATTTTATAAGTTTTTGACTTGTGATTGCATCGCAAAACAAATTGCTGACATATTGTGATCAGCTCTTGTATAAGACTAAGCTAGAACAGGCCTTGTGGCACAGATTAATGGGTAAAATAATTTTCACATCAACCATAACCATGCAGCCCGAACCGTAGCTATCAATCAGTCACATAGAAAATCAGATGCAAACTAAGAACTTAACACAACTAAATGCTGACTGGGGCACCCAGTGGGCCATTTATAGAGAGCACTGCTGTCACTGAAGAAAATTCCAACGAGATCAATCCCACGTAAGCCCCGACCCCTGCCCTGCTATCAGCTGAAACTGCATCATCAGGAGATAGTTTTTTAAGCCCCAGACCACAGCCAGAGATAGACCTGTAGAAAACAAACTATGAGACAGTTTACGCTGGGATAATGTAAACTGCTTGACTGGAATGTGGAGTATAAATTGAGCTGAGACACAGTTTGCATGAATCAGACTTCATCCATTCAATTTCAGTAAGAATTAACGCAGCCTTTATTTAGCCCGCTTTCACTTTGGAAGCCATGACTGAGCTACACCTAAAGGCTCCATCTCTGGCTGTCAACATCCATGCCCACCCCTCAGCTATTCAAGCCCACTACTGAGCCTTACTTCCTGCTGTTGAAGGTGCTGTTATGATTGTTTGTGAGAGATGAAGGCGAGATCTTTGGCAAAGCAGAGAGATTGGAAGCACCAGATGACCTTCAAAAGATAAAGAATAGATCATGAGTTAGAGTAGAGAAAATAAGCAGCCATTCCAAGAAAGGTTTGTGAGTGTCCATTAAATTAAACTGAGATGAGATCAAATAAATAAATTGAGGAATATGTCAGCAACAAAACGTCAAGCAAAGAGGAAGTCATAGAGAGAAGGGACTTTTTGGAAGATGATGAGGTGCTGTAGTGACAGAGCATGGACTGTTTACAGAGGGTTTGGCAATTTCCAAAGCAAAGGCAATAAAATACAACTTCCAAGAAAAGGAATTGTGTCATCATGTTACATTTTTATGCCTTCATACCGACCAAAGCAAAAATATTTTATTATATTTTACATCGTGGAAATTGCATCCCACTCCTGAGCTAACTTCCTTCGGTCAACAGCGAAATATAAGCCATGTGATGCGTTGTGTCGATTCACTCACTTGGGAGCCGTGGAGCCTCGGGGCCAAGAGCCATCCTCGTTCTTCTGCTCTATCACAAGAACCTGAGGGAGACGGAAAAGAAGAAGGGTGGGATTTCAGCGAGTTTGCTGGCTTTGTTGTTTTTTTTTAATTTAGGGAAATTAATAATAATTTAGGGAAATAATGATTTACGATGAAAGCCAAATGTTTGTGTTATGTTTATTTCATGTCTCTCTCTGTTTCAGAGGCTGAGATATTAAAGGTTTTAATCAACGTTGGCAATTCTGTCTGCTCCTCAGAAAACCCTCAGGTTTTAGAGGGGCGCTTTTATCTGGTGCGTTAATGGGTTAAATGCATTTATCACAACTTTTTTTAAATGAAGAGCTTATTTTGAGAATAAAGATTAATGGGTAACAACCTGTTACAGCTGCAGCTAAAATGTCAGTGGCTGTTTCAAATGGGACAAACACAGGGATCTTATCTGCCGTTTCCCTTGGTGAGGATTTGTCGAAGGCTTAGCGATCCTCAGGAAACTGCTGCTGGTTAGCAGGATGGCCTGCTGCCTCACTGTGGCCAGGTGTCTGAGTGTGTCTTTGTTAAGAGTCAACTGCCAGGTGGATGCCAAGACATACATATGTTAAGTTTAAGCAGCTTACGAAGAGAGGTTGTGTCCCTTGCATGGCAGCTGACAAACGAAACTTGGAGTGTTTTGACACTTTAACCGTCTCGTTACAGGAAAGTCGTCTCAAATTATCTCAGCACAACCCCACCTTCACTCTCAGAGATGATTATAAATAACACAATGAAGTCATTTTCTTCTAAATAAATTAAAATTTAGGGTTTTTCATTTACCCAGGAGAGAAACTTGGGAGGTATGAGTAGCCGTGATCAGAAACAGACAGAATAAGACAAGAGCGCCACCTCACGTGATACAGAAATGCCGAAAGAAACTTATCACAGCATTAGTTACAGCGTTTAAATGATTTTGTAGTATGTTGTGAAAATACTTAGCACACGTCTTTGACTTAATATTCAAATAAGTTTTTGATTACCTCACTGTACTTTGATTAGCTATTGTGCCCACTGCTGGTCATGATAACATGTTGGATTCAAGCTAAGTAGAAGAAGACAGGTTTTTTAATCTCCACTCTGCTCTGACCAAAAAAACACTAATTGGCAGAAGCCAAATGAGGAAAAAATAAACTAGAGCTTTCACTGATCTGGAATACTAACTGTTTACAAACCAAGTTATATTTGGAGACCTCAGTGTCAATTGCTTATCAAATATGTTTGTCATAAGCCATGTAGGGTTATTCCTACCTGTCCTTGATAGAGGCCAGCGTCCTGGATGGTGCTGTCAGGTTTATTGAGAGGCTCGAACGTGTTGCTCATGTACCTGTTCCACAGCCTGGTCTCCTGCTCATCAGGAATGCTGAACAGCTTCCTCATCTCCTTCTCGATCATATCTGCAGCAAAGTGTGAAAAAGACAATATTAGTTTGGTTTAAAACAGAAATAGGTAGGAGATTACCAACAATTACCTCGAAAATTGGAAGTGAAAGAGGTAAAAACCATTCCACCACAGATGAGGAAGTAATCAGTAAATTCATCTCGTCATGTTTGCTTTGAATCAAGAATTTGCTCAACTTTTGGAGCATGAGTTGATGCGGCTGATATAATGAAATTTAAATGAAAAATAAATGGACTGAAATCAGGACTTTTGAGGCAATCTCGTGTTTGATTAATGGCGAATATGAAGGTATATTAGCGGTGAAGACAAAGAAATAAGAGCAGTAAATGCATCTTGTGCAAGTTTGTTAAGACATTGAAAAAATACATAAGACCACAGTGTTTAATTGTTACCTTTTGTAAATGTGTGCCACTTGTGACTGCATATGTTTAGGTTTACAAATCCTCTGTATTCCATGAACAAAATCATGACAGTCACTGTTACATAATGTTTTAAAAGCAAGACATTCAGTGTGAATTTATTTTGTTAAAGTTCTATATCTTTCAAAGTGTCCTTTAGTCAGTATGTGTGTTGAACAGAGGGTAAATAAATAGGGCTGAAGATCTGCTTGAAAGTATGACCATGCAAGTTTAAAGACAGTGACTCAGACCTACCTATTGTGTCAGCTTTACTAAAGCGTCTGGTGATCACATTGTCGATGTTGCTGTCTTCACAGAGCTTCAGCTCCGTCAGGTACACCTCCACCTTGCAGTGCTTCACAAACATACCCTGCTCCACCACCTGGAGGAAAAAAATGGGGTATTATTAACTATTCAAATCTTATATGTTGAGAATTAAATGACAGTATACTGCAGATATACAGGTGTCAATTTGTCTAATGAAAAGTAATGTATACAAAGATTATTAAAGGTATTTTCAGCTCTTTCTTACTATCATCAAATTCAAAACAAATGGTCTGATGCCACCATATATTACCTCTATATATCCCTAGAACAGATAGTTAGCAGTGTCTTGCTTGACAGCTAGTCACCAAGGAGAGAATATCACCAGGAGTAGTAAGCTTCCAACTGATCCAGCACGTCACATGCAGCACTTATATGTTATTCTACTTACTTTCTATGTTAAACATTGAAGTTTAATAGGTAAGTTGTGGATTGTATGCGCTGCTGTCTCTTGTGGTTAACAAAGCAGGGTTTGCTGCCCTGGTTGCCGCTCGTCTGGTGTCCTGATAGGAGCACTCAGACTGAAGTGCCTAAATTAGCAGCACCTCGTGGAAACAGCTGAGGGGTCCCAGCCTATTTATTTCACCGCTGAGCTCCTCCGACACACCCGCTCACATACACACACACACAGGGTCACAACTTCACAAATGTCCCTGAGAACTGCAGTAGTCTTGCACACACACTCGCAGCTCAGATTCTCCCCCAGCCCCTCCCCTACCCTATGCTGCAGAAACCCCGATCCCCCGGTGGGCCCCTCCTACCCCTCAGCACAACACCCATGTGTTTTTAGCAAGGAGCTAAAAGCCCAACTCATCGTCAAACTCTTGATGAGAATTTCTCAAATCAGAGCCGAGCCAGAACCATTCAGCCCACCCACTCCTCCCATACTGGTTATGCCTGTCGCACTCCTCTCGCAAGCTTCTCTCAGTGTGACCTCAGCCGGCATTCCTCCACTTCAAAAAACAAGGACACGCAGTAACAATTCACCGTTGCTGGCAATCAAACCGGGACACTGGATAGTGGAAGGGAACATAGGAGCAAACATTTAACCAAAATCCTCCTACATCCTTTTTTAAAAGCATGATCCCCCCGCACCTCAGGATGACAACCCCACAAAAGAAACAAATAGTTTCAAAAAAAGAAAGAAAAACTAATAATGGACCTCCTGCATGTTGTGTCTTGCAGATCGCTCCATGTAGCTTTTCAGTCATCCAGAACGTTGCCTGAAAATAGAAACCCGGCGGCCACCCGATATGTCCCACTACATACATGGCAAAAGAGGAGGGTCAACGGAAGGAAAGGGGGGTGAGAGAGAATGATAGAGATGAAGGGGAAAGAGGAACCTCCTCTCGCGGCCATGATGCCATGACTAGTGAGATTTAAGGCAGGGATTTGATACCATGGGTTCAGTTGAGTTGTGGCCGCCATCATGAAGTATTCCATTAACTAAACTAACCACACACGTACAGCCTCACAGTGAAATGTGCACCAAAGTTTCCATTAAAACGACAACGAATACCTTCAGTTGAAAAGAGAAATGACTGAGAAACTGAATGAAATGAATGAAAAACAGCACTGATGTTGCTTTCTGTCAATGCGTAGTAAATATCCACTATATCAGTATCATCTTTGTTTCATGCTCCAGTGGATCTTTGTACATCAAACTGACAAATCAACCAATTTATCAAAACATCAATGTAGATTCTCTAATGGCTTAACACAAACTAAATATAACGTATAATGAGCAGCAGTGGAGCCACATCTATACAATTATAAATAATTACAGCTCTGCTGTTACACATAATTTCCCTGATCCAGAACTAATTCTTGTAATAATTTTACTGTATTCCAGACACAATGATCTCAAATGGCCTTACTAGCGCACATTATCCCTTTCAGCCTGACACAAGCCACAACCAACTACTAACCACAACCATTATAATGCATCAGAGAAAACCACCTTTGCCGGCATCACGTTGCTGTGCACGCTCCCCCTCAAAATCCATTCATACTCTTGAGCGAATGATTAAAAATGTACCTTGCGGGCGATTGGCTCCTGACCATCTGTCAGCCCGTACCAACTGACGAGCTTGTTCCAGCCCTCCGTGGGGACCAGGATGTAGTCCAGCTCATCGATGAGGTGTTCCTTGATGGCGAGCACGTCCCCATCTAGATGGAGGGAAGGCACGTTCAGTGAGACTACAATAACTAGTCCCTTATGCTACTGAACCTGCGATGACTGTCTCACAAAACACAAAAGAAGACAAAGGAGCTGGAGAGCTTTCTATGAACCCCCCCCTACCCCGACTCAGAAAAGCATTCACCAACAATGTGGTTTTCATCCCCTTTTCCTCTGAACTCTTTGTTGCCACTTCCAGAATGACTGGCCCCACTGTCCGAGGGGCCATGGAGTAATGTTAACGCCACAGACTATTTAACAATAAATGCAATAAGGTGAGTTTGGGTCTAAAGAGCTGGATCCTCACGTGTCTTACCTCTGAGAAGACCAGAGTTATCAACCGGGCCTGGGTAGACATTCTGGTCACCCATCTGGTATTTGTCCCAGCTGTCAAACCCCACATATTTCTTCCACTGTTTAAACCAGTGACTGTCCACCAGGTACCTGCAGAGGAGGGCAGGCAGGAACACATCAGTTCAGATAAAGCAAGGTTGTTAATGTAGACACATCAAGAGTCACCACTAACTTTATTAGTATGTATTTATACAGTGACAACAGGTAAATCTGGTGTGAGGGTCAATCAGTGATCAGGTTGACAGTTGTGGCAGCAGCAGATTCGGAGTGGAGTTCAGGTTGCTGCATGCCTTTCTCGCTGGCTCTGTGGTTTTGACAGGTGTTTTTTCTCCCCCGACTCCGCCCTGCCGAAGTCGACAGATGAACCCGCTGACTGGGAAGCTTGGAGCTCCGGTGGTCTGGCCAGCTAGCGCCACAATAGCCTGCTGCCTAGAGCTAACGACCGGTGTGTGGCCGCGCCGTGGTGTCATCAGTTAAAAGTGACGCGGTGGTTAGCAGGAGCTCTAACCAGCCGCTAAAACACAACATTTAAAAGATGAGCGGTGGTTCTTCATTGGCAGTCGCGCAGCTAGCTCAAGCGCCGCTAGCCCGCCGTACCGACACACATGAAGCTGACGAGATTCCGTTAGCTAGCTCGCAGCTAACTGTCAACACGGCTCGTCACCGCGGCTTCCTCCTCCACCATGGCGCTGACAGCCTCGGCGGAGGAGGCCGACGGCTCCGCTGCGTCTCTGAAATGCTTTGAGCCCGGGCCTCACCAAGTGTCCCCCTTCCTCAGCTGTGTTTTCAGCAGCGCCGCGACCTCTCCTCTCTGGGTGTCCAGATCCGCCGCTCCTCCTTCCGCCATCTTTCCTCGGACATCGCCCGTTGCATGGTGGGTAAGCGCGGGGCGTCACCGGAGTACGTAGAGAGTGACGTCGCTGCCGCCGCAGCCAATCAGCGCGCTCGCCGCCGGCACAGGGGCAGCGTGGCGACACCCAGCGGTGAAAGTTAATATTGTGGAGAAACGCTCTAAAGTGCCTCATCACTGTGATGCTGATCCACATACACACTGACCGTATAAATGATTTATTTTATAATAAATATATGTATAAATAATAATATAAATTATTCTAAAAATGAATAATAATAATGATCTATATATATATGCATATATACAATCATAATATATATATATATTATTTAAAATTAAATAATAATAATGTATATATATAAAATTGACTCTGATCTAACCTAAAACAGCCATAAACAGAGCCCCAGCATTCTCCTACAAGTCCCACAATCCAACTCAGTGGTATCTTATCATTAGAGCCACCCAGTCTGATAAGTAAATATAGCATTTATGCCCACAACTCATAATAAAGGATTTGCGTTAATAATTTGAACATAATAATGTGTAAAAAAACAAACAATGGGACAATAGTTCAACACAACATGTAAATTGGCATCTTTATTTAAAAATGTACTTACAAGATTCATATTATACAATATATGAAACTACCCTGTTTGTACCATGTTAGTCCTCAACCTACTGCACATCTACAGAGTAATAATTATAATTTTCACTGGCATTCTACATTTTCACAGTCTATTCACTTAAAATACAACATTTTATTTCAATTCTCGTAAATACAAAAAAAAATCTCCACAATCAGTTATGATAATACAATATATGATACAAATATGACTAAGAAGCCATGAAGTGATGTTACAGATACACAAGGAGACTTCATTTTACAATGGTAACCTGCACTCTAACTGATTTCACATACATTTTTTTGAAAGCTTTAGTGGCACGTGAAACCACAGGTGACACTAAAACGTTTGTTATAAAATTGTACAAGGCTGACTCATGAATTTCAGCTAACATTGCATTGTGTTATTTACATCATCTATGAAATGCAGAGCTGAACTATCTATGCCAGCATTTAATGGATTTCAGTTTGAGTAGAGCAAATTACTTTTGTCCCTGAAAAAATGCCCTTGAGCCCTCCAAAACGTCGACATGATCCAATATATGAAAAGCTACTTTTTGATCTCTCTTCCCGTATCAGTCTTTTATCATATTACTGCTATCCCTGAAATGCCAGGCTCTGCCAAAACCCAACACTGTCAGCCTATTATCTCCTGAGTCCTCCACAAATTATAGTAGATGATGTGACGCTTTGTTGCACCTTTCCCTGCAGTGATGGAGCCAAAAAACCCATGCGTCTCTTCCATACGTATCACCAGTGGAGCCTCATACGCTGGTGTCTTTGTCAGAGACGGGGGAGTAGCCATTTTTAGTCATGGTGGCGTCCACCTCAGGAGCAAAGATGGCCAGTAGCCTCTCCTGCTCCCTCTTGGTTTTGGGTAAATCATCAGACGGTGTGATGAGCAGCTGGATGCGCTGTAGAAAAATGAATAAAATCCACAGGAGTGAACCCAGAGAAAACTTGTCACAGTTAATAAGTACTAAGGGTCTTTTCACTAAGAAGTCGTCGTTGAGCTTTACGGATTTAACGTTACCTCTCTGAACGTCCCCTGAGTCGTGCTGATCTTGTACACCATCCAGAGCGGGATGCACACCATGGAGGACAGAGCAAGCAGCCAGCCGATGGCGTAGCCCCACCACGGGTACACATACTCATTGTTGTACTTGAGGGGAGTGTATTTGATGAGGGAGAAGGCAAAGGTACCCTGAAGAAACAAACAGATAAATATTAGGACTGTTGAAGAATGAGCAGACGTTTCATGTGCGCACAAAAGCAGCAAGAAATCTGAGTGCAAGCGACAAAATATATTAAGTGCAAGTGCACAGTTTGAGCACAAGCAGAGCAAATCTAAGCACAAGCAGAGGCTTTTTGAGTGAAAGCATTACAAAATTTGAACATGAAATCACTAAATCCTTCCCACATATTGTAAGAACACACTCTTGAATTAAGATAGTAGCAGTTCTATCAGTTCGTTGATACTCACGATGCATGTGGCCGGGGTGAGGTACAACCAACAGTACTTGATGTACGGTCCTGGACGGTACCCAATCATGTCCTCAATGTTGTCGTAGAAGCGATCTGCACCTGCAAAAACACACAGAAGATATTTTTTCTCAACATGCACACGTCTAAAAAGTCAAACTAAATGTAAAAATGAATGAGTCGATTTAAAAGCATAACAGGATCATCGGAAAACACTTGTGAATCCTTAAGTATGTCTCCATTGTCACACTCACCATAGACCCATGCAATGCAGACAGTCTCAAAGATGGACATGAAGAGCAGACACATGCCACTGGCTGCATAGTAGTCAAAGAGCTGGAAGATGTACATGCCCCCCTGAAAAGAGAGAGAGAGAGATAGATAGTGAGAGGGAGAGAGAAAGAGAGAGAGAGAGAGAGAGAGAGATAGAAGTGTTAAGTCATTATTATACAAGGACAAAATACTTTAATTCAATAATCAAATGAAGTAAGCAGAAATTTAGTTCAGGTTATGCTCGGTGCAACAAATCTATCTCAAGCAACACAAAAACAAAAGGAAAAAAGAATTGATATAATAAACAGAGAAAATGACCTGAAATCCATTATATATATGAATATGTGATAAGTTACAGCACTTGAACTTTCACGTCACTGTTTTTCTGACTGCAGGAGACAGAAGAATCAATCTGGAAACCTTCAACGTGTACAAATTTGTCTTGGAAGTCTTGAAAAATGAAACAACGAATATAATAAAATATATTCAGTGTAAAGTGACACGTTTTGAGCTTTTAATTTGAATTTGTCGTTGCCGCTAGAGACATAGAAGGCAAGTGATGTTTGCATGTGTGTATGTATGTGTGTGTGTGTGTGTGTATGAGTGTGTGTTTTAGCTCAAATATAATCTCAATTACATGTGAACAGTATTTTTGATAAACGGGGACATCTTTTGCAGGACTTCAAAATACATGTTCTGCACCCTTCTTATAGTCCATGTCGTTTTATTTCTATATGGGAGGCTGCAACTCAAGAGACACAGCGGGATATCCACTAACACCTAATTGCCGTACAGGCGTTATGTGAATGGTGCGGGCAGCAGATAGTAACATTGTGTGAATGAGTGACTTGCACTGTGAAATTCTTTGAGTGGTAGATAAGACTCGAAAAGCTCGATATAAATACTATTCACCATAAATAATTTAAATTTGACCTCAGTTGTGACTCAGGCTGCGTAACAACGTTTGACACTTACCCTGTTGTACAAAACCTTTCACTTGCTCGTACTTACAAAATGGCGACTTGTTGACACCTCTGCAGAGGATTCATGTTTCCAGCTGTGCAGAGGTGAAATCATGTCAACTACTACAATTTATTTTAACATCTTCTCTAAACAACCATCTGCTGCCTTCTCCTCTTCGAGCATCAACAACCTGGTTTGGAGCATCTGGGTGCATAACTTTAGTTTTACGTGAATGTTGTTTTGGAGATAATTTCACCATATGGGGTCAAATATAACGAGTAAGAAGTTAAAATAATATTTTAAAGACAGTGAAAATGCAAATTATTGTTACTTTTACTTTGAAAATACAGTTATTTCCTGGTGAAACCTGAGTTTATGCTTGCAGATCTTGGTCTCTCATTCTGCATCTGTGTGTGAGTATGTGTGTGGTCCCAAAGTGTGACACCCCCCACCTACCTCCATCAGCATGATGAGGCCCATGAGGAAGGACATGAAAGCAACAACCAAGAGGAAGAGCTCCCTGCGGTTCTTGCGGCGGAACACAGCGGGGTACATGTCCACGATCGCCGTCACAAGGCTCTCAACACAAACAAACTGAGGACAGATACACAGTTTTTAATCAGTAACCCTCAATTTTACGGAAACAAAAAGTTCTGTAAACATCATTTGTGAACATGAATTAGTACACAATTGTCTACCTGGCTGTCCAGCCCCAGAAACACAATCATGATGAAGAAGAGGGCGGCCCACAGAGGAGAGAAGGGCATCATGGAGACAGCTCGGGGGTAAGCTATGAAGGCAAGGCCAGGACCTACAGAGAGATGAAAACTGACTGAAAACTAGAACTAATAACAAATAAATGATGATCCTAAAGATAATGTAAAGATTATTGATGCTGTTCCTTCATTTACAGAAGTCTCACCAGATTCTGCTACTTCTGAGATGGGGACGTTCTGTTCAAAAGACATGAAACCCAGGATGGAGAAGATCGCAAAGCCCGCCACAAAACTGGTGCCGCTGTTCAGGAAGCACAGCGAGAGGCAGTCTCTGCAAAACACAGCACATTCGTTTATTTAACACATTTAGAATAATATTTATATCGAAAGGTGTATATTACGCACATACCTCTATATTTCTTATATTGTATCTTATTGCCTATTTGTATTTTACTTCCTGCTTTCACTTGCTATCTTGTCAACCTCTTTTTGACTATTGGCTGCTGTAACAAGTGAATGACTATCTGTTCTCATCTTGGTCAAATCTAAAACAAAATTGAAGAAATATGTCTCAGCAACAATTACTAATTTGAAGTTTTTTTGTATTTGAGGATGTACCTGTAGCAGTTATTGTTGTATTTGTTGTAGCTGCCCAGAGCTGTCAGCGACCCTAAACAGATGGCATAGGAGAAGAAGATCTGGGTGCCGGCATCCATCCACACCTGACACAGAGGAGGCACGTGACAGGTGAGAAGATGCTGAGCTGCTGCTTCAAAGTCATGTCATGTTTTACGTACATGTATATCCGACATGAGAGTACAAATACACTCAGGCTGATGTATAGACGCAAACGTGCTGGTCAGTGTTTATATAATCCAGAAGAATTCACATGCTAGGCTTTCACATAAGTAATCATTGACTGCTGCTGCTGCTGCTGCACCATAATAGCTGGTGAGACTCTTCTTGTCTTAAACACTCATTAACAAACCAAGTTTCCATACGTATAGAAAGTGCAGGAAAAACCGATGCTTTATCATACAGACTAAACAAATCACAAAGCAAAACTGGGACAAGAACAGAACAGAATAAAAACAGAATTTAACAACAGGAGAAATTATGAAATGTTTTGATCTGATGCAGAGACGTTGACAGAGCTCGTTAAAACTCTCTGAGCCTGTGACTGTGTGTGGCTCAGTCCTGTGTTTACAGTCCCAGCAGCGTCCTGGCCCTGCGTTCGATCCCTGTGGTCTCTGCCTCTTTCATAAAGAGCAGGTGGGCCCAGCAGAAACTGGGCTCCCCAGCAGAGAACCATGGGATACCCATCGCCCACGGGGACCAGAACACACAAGGACCCCGTTATTTGGGATTTTATGATGTTGTGATGGATGTAAGTATTTTGGTGTGAACGTACCTACTCATTCTGTCTGTATATGTGATGCATATCTCATGTTCCACTCATCTTATCACCTCAACACTCTGTGTGTGTATTGTAAAGTGTCTGAGGAAGATCAGTGCTGATTTTGGTGCACTGTAGACACATGATACATTCAATGTTAATAAAATGTGAATAAACAGGTGACCAGTGCTCTGTTGCAGTCAGTGGGGGCGGAGCAGCTATGGATTGAGTTGAACATGTCGGTCTCTACATTCTGGGGTACATCAGACATTCCCCGGAGCTGATCTCCAACATTCATAGAATCACTTTCTCTTTAGCAATTTGCCTTCAAAGTAAAAGCACGTTGGTTTTTGTTTGCTGCAATGCTTAATACTGAGCGGAATTGCCGAGCTTTTACTTTGAAAAGCTGTTAACTTGGGTCTTAAGATTGTGTCTGCTATTTAACAGATCTCTGAAATATCCGTCATGCAATGTATGAGGAAAATCTTGAAACTTACATATGAACCACACCCGTGAAGATTAATAAAGCAAATTCAGTTTCATGAAATGAAAAGAACTGACTATAAATTCTTCACTGCAGATAAACCTGGTGGGATGAACTCTGCATAATAGACTGCTTATAAAAAGCTCTGCACATGAACAATAAATAGTGACATTTTATTGTAGAACTGATTGAGGAGGACTCACTGATGACAAGGAATAATTCTGAAGGACAGGACAAGAAAACAGCCCATTCCAAACAGGCAGGTTTAGAACAGCCGCAGCACTAGTTAACCTAAAAGTAATCACATGCCAGATATACACATTCAACAGATTTCCTTGTTTGGTACCTGTGGATCCGCCAGGCGTCCCAGGTCTGGGTAAAGGTAGAACTGGATGCCGATCCCCGCACCAGGCAGAGTGAGCCCCCTGATCAGCAGAACGATCAGCATCAGATAGGGGAAGGTCGCAGTAAAGTAGACCACCTATACCCACACACACACACACACACACACACACACACACACACACACACACACACACACACACACATCCCACACAAACACATGTTAAATATGGAAACAAACATCCCAATTAGAAAGAATAAATACCAGCTGTCATCGTGGAACTGTTCTAATACATATATTTAAACATTCCAGTTAGATGCAAACTAGGTCACGACCCCAAGTCACCCCTCACCCACCTTTCCTGTGGATTTCACCCCCTTCCAGATGCAGAAGTAGCACATGACCCAGGCGATGAACAGACAAAGGGCCAGGTCCCAGTTCATAGAGCCCATCTGGTCGATGCCGGGGGAAATTCTCAGCGCTCTCCTCCTGCAGAGGCAACAGAGACGCATTATTATCATTATCATTATTATTATTATTATTATTATTATTATTATTA